ACGTGCAACTGTTAGCAAACGGGCACATTCACCAACATGCGTGATATGCATAGAAATTTACTTTTTGTACGTTAGCATGCAAGTCACAGCATTCATTTCCTTGCAGGATATCGAGTGAAGCCAATTATTATCCTAAATAAAGCATTATAATGCAATAGGTTGCGGAAGAAATGGTGAACTTCGTGGCAAGGCACAATAAATGGACGATAGAATCTAGAACTCCGCGTTAATGCACATAAAGAGATCAGGGACTATACTTTCAAGAAAAGTTAAGAGATCGTAAGTTCATCAGCCAATCATCAACGGCCTTTCAAGCAAAATCCACCAATCGTAGACAAGAAAATAGAGCGTAAGTACTTACGTTCACTTAGCGAGTTTTGAAAGTATGGCCCCAGGTTCTAGAAGATAGGGGATAGGGGGTTTTGAAAGAAGATAGGGGGTTTTGAGAACCCCTAGAAGATAGGGGGTTTTGAAAGTATGGCCCCAGGTTCTAGGCCGTAGGGGACAACGCCCCCGGGGCCCTCGCTTGGTGCCTGGGAAGAGGGCAGATGCCGGCAGCTGCTCGGCCTCCAGCGCCTGCGTGGGAAGCTGCCATTAATTAATGCATTGGGCCGTGCCGTTAAAAAAATTTTTGATTTTGACGGATTGACCTCATAAATTCGAGTTAGGATCTTATTTTGTTCGATAATTGGAAAAATTGGAAATTATTCACTGGTAACTGAGGTTGTATCTATCCTAGACAAAATTCATTGCCATTATTTAGATTTTAAAACGTTATTTCTAGGTCAATTGGATGGCGAATGAGTCATAAATACATGTAAATGGTATAGTTATGATTTATTTATGTCCATATATAAATCAATCTTACACTAATGATTCTATCATTATAAATGAAATTTTCAGATAATATCCCGCCCCGACAAGTATCCTGCCATTTATGTCAGACGGTTTAGTTTATTTTCAGTTATATGACTGCGACACGATTTGGCCAGTGAACGTGCAGGGACCTACAGCACAACATAATTCTTACCAGCACAAGTAGTATCATATTAGTATGTAGTGGTAGAATGGTTGGCTAGCGCTTCAGTTATCAAACTATTTCGCACCGGAGGTAAAAATATAACATCGCCAGGAAGGCGGAAGGTCTCAGTTATTCAAAATCTCAAATTAATCATCCGCACAAAATTCCACCCACAATGGGCGGAAGGTCTCAATTGTCCAGCCCGCTGAAGCTGGCTGGAAAGAAGCAGCGTTAGCATCTCAAAGAGACGAAGTGACAAGGAGGGACAGGTGAACAGCAACAGCTGTCTCTTATACACATCTAGATGTGTATAAGAGACAGTGCATCCTCTGTACGCAGCCTCGGAATTCAGCTGGACTCAGAACTATCTATGAACAACCACATTGCCAAAGTAACCGCTGCTTGTTTTGGCATCCTGCGGCGAATTCGTAGCGTCAGTCGCTGTCTCTCGAGGCCGGTCCTCGAGGCCCTCATGGTGGCGCTTGTGCTGACCAGACTGGACTATGGCAATGCCACACTCTA